TGATATAATTACTGTAGACAATGGTGTAGCGGAACGCCAATAATAAATCCACGAATTCCGCTGGTTCAGGAAATAATCCACAGTCAAGCGCTGAAACAACAAGGCAATATCCCCAACCTCCCAGTAACCGGACGAGACACAGTTCTGAGAGTCAACTGAAATCCTTTAATTCGGCTGGACAATTTATACAAGTCCCCATGCAAGGGGTTTCCCAGAGGGCACTCCCAGAGGGCACTACATGGGGGACTTACATGACAACATATTTCTCCCATCAGGCACCGTTGCACGAGAGGGATCCTCCTCCCAGAACACACCGTTAAGTGGATTATCCCCTCGTGCAGCAGAACCGACAATTTATACAAAAATCCATAACTGGGTTAATATACGGTGGATTTACACGAATGGACATTCGGTAGATAGCTGGGGTCTGAGCGCATCATTCGTGAGATTACCGCTCAGATCCCAGCTAAAATAACCGAACGCCGCACGAAAAACACATTTCTTATAAAACATATAAAAAGGACCGATTGCTTTCAGGGAACAAAATCCCGAATGGCCCGAAACTCCCGAACGTCCTGGAAGCTCAGCGGTGTTCGTGCCGTCGAGTAGCCGTTTTTAGTACTATGCGCTCGACGACCTAACACCGCTGAGGGAACAAAGGATCCAAGATGGCCGACCGCCGCATGGTCAGTAGTCGAACGACGGCCACCCAGGAGAGCCTCTAATTACCGATTGCAACATTGTTGCAATCGGTTAACTAGCGCCACACGCCTCTAAGTGTGTGGGCTATTAGGGGTATTGCGTTCGGTTCACGAACGGCCCTCCCAAGTGCCGTTCGTGGAACGAAAGAAAACCCCCATACAAACCGCCATTTGCATTCGGCGGAAAAGGCAATTACAGGTAATGCAGAGAATACATAAAGCATACACATATAGAGTAAAGCACATATCTCCCCAGACCTATAGGCAACCCTTAAAGGCATAGTCTCTAGTTATAATCCAAGTGGCTAGGTTTGCCACAAATGGGTTAACTTAATTATCACAGGCAGGAAAATATATAGTTTCATACAATATTCATAAGTCATAAATATACATACAATCTCCATAATAGTTACATATTCAGAACCAGCACAATCAATATACAAACATACTCAAAAATCATACAATTCCCTCCAGTGGTTTAAAAGTTAGATAGAAGTCCTATTTGACCGAGCAGGGACAAAGCAGCCAGTTCCAACTGGTCTGGCAGTGTCCCTGGGACAACGCCCTGCTGGAGAACAATGGGACAGGAAACAGGGGAGGGGAAGAGGCAAACCTTCCCATGGATTCAAAGGGGCAGAAAAAGTGTCCCAAAATCCAATAAGCCCAAACAGACTTTTTAAATGGCAATACTTCCCAGGGGCCATAGTCACAAGGCAAGAGGCTGGCAAGCAGGCCTCTCCAAGAACAAGTGGCGAAGGGCACTTAGTCACAGTAAGCATTAATCAAATCCATCCTCCCCCACCAAGTGATCTCTACTTGTCTCCATTTTTTCAATGACTTATTCATGTCCCTAAAGCAGCTTAAAAAATTAGTTTGCATTAAGTCAGAGACATCTCTGGTCAGAAGTATACCAAGATACTGGAGGGTAGTATTAGCCCAGTTAAATTTATAACTAGCGTTTATAAGATCCTTACTCTCTTTATCTACATTAATGTCCAAAATTGTTGCTTTATTCTCATTTATTTTGTAGTTTGAGATGTCACTACACGTCTTTACTTCGTTTATAGATATGACAGGGTCAGTTAGCATTATAATCAAATCATCAAGTTCAGTTTTAAATTTGTAGCAATGCCTTTTATTTGCTGGTTGTTTCTAATATTAATCGCCAATATCTCCTGTTACAAACTACTATTTGTAACTGGCCCTTTAAATGACAAATTGCCCTGCTTCCCTGGGTTGTGGAGAAGCCTATTTGCCAGCCTCCTTCCGCATGACTATGGCCCCTGGGAGATTGTGAAAACGTATGGACTTTTATTGGGTGTGTATGGCCCTTTAAGACAGTCGGTGGGCATATTGGGGCTTATGGACTCTTTATGGGACTAGTGCTGGCCCTTTAAGCATCTTTTTGGGGCATAGGGAAAATTGGGACACTGCCAGGGCCGGACTGGCCCACCGGGATACCGGGAAATTTCCTGGTGGGCCGCGGCACCTGGGGCTGGGCTGACAGCCCTAATCATTGGGCTGACAGCTACTGTGATCCCGGCCGGCCATGTACCCCATGTGTGAGCTGTGCAGCCGCACAGAGCCCCATGGGAGCAGAGGGAGACAAGCGGCCGGATCATAAAAAAAAAAATTGCGGCGGGCGGAGCTTACGTGCGGCGGGGGCGGAGCTTACGTGGGGCGGAGCTTAGCGTGCGGCGGGGGCGGGGCTGACTGTGCGGCGGGGGCCTGGCTGACTGCAGCATGGGAAGCAGGAAGGAGTCCCTGCTTCCCCAACAACCAGCCTCCAGGAGCTCCAAGCAGGAGGGAAGAAAGAGGTCAGTGTGTCTGTGTGTGACTGTCTGTGAGTGTGTGACTGTGTGTGTGACTGCCTGTGTGTGTGTCTGTCTGTGTGTGTGACTGCCTGTGTGTGTGTATCTGTGTGTGTGACTGTCTGTGTGTGTGACTGTGTGTCTGTCTGTGTGCGTGTGTCTGTGTGTGTGACTGTCTGTGTGTGTGACTGTGTGTGACTGTCTGTCTGTGTGTGTGACTGCCTGTGAGTGTGTGACTGTGTGTGTCTGTGTGTGTGACTGTCTGTGTGTGTGACTGCCTGTGAGTGTGTGCCTGTGTGTGTGTGTGACTGTTTGCCTGTGTGTGTGTGTGTCTGTCTGCCTGTCTCTGTATGTGTGGATGTTTGCCTCTGTGTCAGTGACTGTCTGCCTCTGTGTGTGCGCGCACCTGCTAGTGAGTTTGTGTGTGTGTGTGTGTGCCTGCTAGTGAGTGAGCTTGTATGTGTGTCAGTGAGCTTGTCTGTAGGGAGCATATGTGTGTGTGTTAGTGAGCTCTTGTCTGTAAGGAGCATGAGTGTGATCGTGAGCTTGTCTGTAGTGAGCGTGTGTGTCAGTGAGCTTGTCTGTAGTGAGTGTGTGTGTCAGTGAGCTTGTCTGTAGTGAGCATGTGTGTGTCAGTAAACTTGTCTGTAGTGAATCTGTGTGTCAATGGGCTTGTCTGTAGGGAGAGTGTGTGCCCATCAGTGAGCTTGTCTGTAGTGAGCGTGTGTGTGTGACAGTGAGCTTGTCTGTAGTAAGCTTGTGTGTGTATCAGAGTTTGTCTGTACTAAATTTGTGTGTGCCAGTAACCTTGTCTGTGTGTGTCATTGAGATTGTCTGTCAATGAGCCTATTTGTGTGCATCAGTAAGATTGTCTGTGTCTGTGTGTGAGTATGCTTTACTGTATAATTTAATTACCCTAAAATAACTAATATTTTGAATTAGAAGAAGAAAGGTATCAATAAAAAAATATATATACTATATACTATTGCATCACCAGGGCTCCAGTATCCAGGCAATTGAAATAGTTGGCTGCACTCTCAGATTTCCTTAAAACATAAAATTTTATTGAAATATTTAAAGGACCACTCTAGGCACTCTGACCACTTCAGCCTAATGAAGTGGTCTGGGTGCCAGGTCCAGCTAGGCTTAACCCATTCTTTTATAAACATAGCAGTTTCAGAGAAACTGCTATGTTTATAAATGGGTTAAGCCTTCCTCCAATTCCTAGAGGTGCTTGCGTGATTCTCACTGTGAAAATTACAGTGAGAGCACGCAAGCGTCCATAGGAAAGCATTGAAAATGCTTTCCTATGTGACCGGCTGAATGCGCGCGCAGCTCTTGCCGCACGTGCGCATTCAGCCGCATGGGAGGAGAAGAGGAGGATCGGAGGAGGAGAGCTCCCCGCCCAGCGCTGGAAAAAGGTAAGTTTTTACCCCTTTCCCCCTTCCAGAGCCGGGCGGGAGGGAGACTCTGAGGGTGGGGGCACCCTCAGGGCACTATAGTGCCAGGAAAACAAGTGTGTTTTCCTGGCACTATAGTGGTCATTTAAGAGAAGATCAATGTTTCAGTGCCTCTTGTGGACTTTCGTCATGATCCTGATGCAAGTCCACAAGAGGGACTGAAATGTTGATCTTCTCTTAAATATTTCAATAAAAGTTACATTTAAAGGAAATCCGAGAGTGCAGCCAACTATTTCAATTGCCTCTATATATTTATAACACCCTACATAGCACAATGACTTATGGGGCTGGCATAGATTTTTTTCCAGGGCTGCTTCGTATCCCCAGTCCGGCCCTGGACACTGCCCCTTTAAGACTGTGTCCCCAGACTTGTTTATGACACTGCCCCTTTAAGACGGTGTCCCCTGTGTCCCCAGACCTGGTTAAAGCCCTTTGTTCCTGGCTATTTCCCACTTGGTTCGGTAAATGGG